TTTTTATGCATACCCATTTTTGAAAGTTTTAAAAATCGGGAAATGAACTAGAAAGCACACAGCGTGTCAATATTTGAGATTTTTTAGGTTTTGAATTAAAAAAATTAATCATTTTTAATAGGTTTTTTTCAACGTAGTTTTCTCCCCGCAAAGGAGTCGGACAAAAAAATGATAATTTAAAAAAAAATGGTCGTCAACTACAAATGGACTCACAGAAATAGTTTTTGCAAAAGAAAAACTCTATGAAAGGTAACGGTATGTCAATGGGGACTACATCTTTTTATTTCATGGTAACTGCTTAGTGTGCTACAGTGCTTGTGCTACAAATCCTTTCAGCTTTATGAAGAAATAAGCTGTTCAGTGCAAGGCTCCGCCCTACGCCACTTTTCATAACTGTGCATATCGGAGTCTTACACTATGCAGTCTAAATGTTTTGGTTAAAATGATACTGAATAAACGGAATAATTCAAGCCCCTACTCAGTATGTATCACTTTGAAATAGATCTAGGGGTATGTAAGACAAACGATTGTATTGGTTCATTTCAGTCAGATTGTTAGTGCTGAAAACTACAATTTTGATCATCTTAAGCATTTTGTTCGTTAATTCAGCATATAAAGTGTACACGACAAAACTTGGTCGTGATCTGAAAACACGAAAAGTTGTACATTAAAAGCCATGTTTTCTCGAGCATTTTTAAGAATTTAATTTTCTTTTGTCGTGATTTTCAGTAACTGAGCTTTCTGCGAATAAAAAAAAGAAGATTCTCCGAATTCAAGCACAATATTGGCCTGAAAGCATTTTCATAACCTTTTATCCAACGGACCAATAATTAAATTTATGGGATTTTTATTTATTCCGTTTCAAAAATATTAAAATTTAGTAGAGGGTGCGGTGGCGGAGTGGTTAGTCCGCTCGTCTCCGAAGCGGAAAGTCTGGGTCCGAGCCTCGGTTCGGACACGGATTTTTTTGCCCCCTCCTGCCCACCTAGCAGTCATGAGTACCTGACTTCGAGTTGGAGAAGTTAAGGCAGCGTGGAAAGGAACTGGCCACCCTACTACAATATGACGAAGTCCTAGGAAGTTGTCTCACTAACAAGGCAATCCCCCCCCTCCCCCGGATTGGATGCGGGAACTTTTAGTTTAGTTTTAGTAGAGGTTTTACGCGCTCACCACTGCATAAGGTCATATGATCGCCAGAAGATAAGAGGTGCTACAAGAGAGTAACAAACATAAAAAAGAAGAAGGGGAGATAAGGACGATATATGATTCATAGGAATGAAGAAGCAAACCACACCAGAGCACCCGCCAACCACCCAGGGAACAACTTTAGTAGATTCTAAAATTACACTGCTGAAAAAAAAACCTAGCAGATTGAACGTATATCCAAGGCTTTAAGAAAAGTGGCTGAATTTCTACAAATGATATCGGAGCTCTGTTAAAACAGTGCCAACAAACGTATGACCGGCGTTTCTGAAGCAGCCTTCTTTACTATGCATTAAGGCCTAGTTCGACCAATTCACGCCAACCCCGTTTAATTTTAACAACGTCGTCATAATTTAAAGTCAGAGAAGCTCCAGCTGTATCCTTGTAATGTCTTCTTTCCCTAATTCTCTTGCTCTGGCCTTTTTACCAAGGTTCTAGTGTAATAAAAATAGATCTGTAAATCTTCACAGTGTGCATATTGCCCCCCCCCCCCCCCGTGTCTACACGAAAGGAAAATACAATTACAATATGATATAATGCAACGGATAGAATCAGATTAGAATAGAACACAGCAGGACATGGTAGTGGCGCTAATATTTCTATTTTACAATATAACTGTGATGATTATAACTTTGATTTAAGGAAAGAAGGCGATTGAGCAAACTGGGTAAAGGCGGCAAGTTGTGAGTCGGACACTTAGATCACATCTCAGTAGGAGCGCCCCCCCCCCCCCCCCCCCCCCAGACATGACGTTCAAAGACGTTCCTCAAATTGACAGACTTCCCCCAGCAAGTACAGACAGAGGTTTAACCTTGTCCTTCCGAACAATGCGATCTTGTTTATGCATGACGCCATCCATAATGGAACGGGGTACCGTTTAGCTCGGAGGGGATGAAAGCGAGTATCAAAAACTAAGGTAATAAAATGTCCGGCGACAGCAGCGCTCCGAGCTTGTTGAAGGTACCTCCTTTAAGAACTTCTGCAAACTTTGGTTGGGCAGGCTCCTGAAAAGCGCTTTTACAAATTGTAGGTTTGTCTGAGCAACGTGTAAAACTGGCGCCACTTAGAGAGAAGAGCGCTTTTGGCGAGAAGGGGTTAGATAAAGAATCCGTAGGAGTCGGATTGTTGACACAAGTTCATATTTCCGCGGTCCGAGTTTTTGTACCAAGACAAGTCGACTGTTGAAGAAGCTTGTCGTGAGAGTCGAGCACAGGACAGGGGCCTTGTTAGATACATTAAGCAGCGGCCAACGTCAACACGATTAGTTTAATAGGAATATTTTAAAAGCCCCTTGCTGGCTCTTCGGCTTGTTGGCGACTGGTTTAACAAATTTCAAACACTTGCTGTCGGTGTTCTGAGATAGAGAGTGGTTAATCCATAAGTAGACAAATCACGTAGCTGAGATGAGAGTTTGGATAATTTGTTATAATATAGTATAAGTTGTGTATACCTATAGTGGTCCTTAGATAAGCTTACGCTAAGCTGTGCAATTCTCTAGCAGAAGGTTGGCTAGCTTTTACTTCATTAGATGCATTTTACTATTTTTGGTTCTATAATACTGTTCAAATTTTAATTTCAGTTTCCTTTTGCAAAGTCACTAGAAAGACGACAAAATAATCTTTTGGAATGTCGATATAGTTCCAAAATGAAAAAGCATTTCACGTGAAAAAAAGTGTAACTGGTTATGGCATTACACATTGTTGCAAATGTTTACTACTAAATATAAAAGGTTGAAATCCGAGAAAAAAAATAATTGTAAACAAGAGAAGTTAAATAATTATTTTCATTAAAAAATCTCTATTATTCTAGAAAATAAAACTAAAATAAATAGTTGAACTGTGATTTCATTCACAGAAACCTATGAATCGCAAAGGACCAAACGGTCCAAACACGAATAAACAACACATCATCTCCCAGGGTCGAAACCATAGGTGGTGAGAAAAATGGACCTCCCTGTTGACTGACATTGGTGGTTTAAAATAGATTTTATAAAACCGGAATAGTGTACATTTATGATAAATATTTATGTTTTAAAATCTAAAATACTCTTACGCCAAGCCTTACACTTCTCTAGAGGAAGATATCCTCTCTTGTACTATATTTTTTTTGTGTATAGGATATTATTTTTTTCCCGATAATATTCAAATACATCTTTCCTTTGCTATGTCCCTAGAAAGACGACAATAATTATAATCCAAACTTTCAGACAATGTAAATCAAATAATGCGGAGCAGGTTGTGCAGAATGAAAATCCAGCCTTTTTATGAAATAATAAATACAAGTAATATTGCTATTTAAATATTTCTCCTAAAATTCAGAAAACGAATACAGGGAGCTAAAATACCTCTCCAAGAAGTTACAATAAATAAAACAAAAGGTGTGACCACGCCCATTTGAAGCATCCGCACAAGAGGGAGACTACTCCTACAACAAACAGGGAGCACAAGCATCGAGACAACTCGTCACTCACGTCAAGATGAAGCTAGCACTCGCTACGGGAGGAATAGCTTGATCAAGCCCCCACTCACTCGCGACACGGCCCTGTATTTGCTCCTTGTTTCCCTCTTGGCACACGCAAGCTCCCCCAATCTGGCAACCATCTTGCGCCACATTACAAAGATCAAATATACCTGCATGCATATCAATTTTCTAACGAGACGGAGAATGTAAATTGCCTTTGGCGATGAGCGCGGGGAAGCAACACCTCCTTGGGTCTCTTAGCACTTTACTAGCAGCCTCCCCGTTGCCTTCTGGGGCCGGTGAAGAGAGTTACCCAGGATAAGTGTTTCTATCCGAAGACAGGTGTGGGCTGCTAGCACGCTACAATACAGAAAGAGCCTTTAGCGCACTTGAGGTTCCTTGCTCTCAAGAGACCAAGTTTTGGCCGCTCTGTTTTCCTCTGTGCAGTACGATTCTACTTGATGAGCAGTGAGAGATTTAGCGCTAGTATTTAGAAATAAACAAACGTTTAAAAATGGTTTGAACGCTTACGGGAAAAGTTTACTTAGGAAGTATTTTAAGTGAGAAGTTTATCATTATGATCTTTATTATTATCAATATTATCATTCTTCCTGGCATAATAATAATAATAATAATAATAAAAATAATAATAATAATTTATTACTAGTGTTAGAGTTATCATCATCATCATC